ATTGAATTGAATTGAATTCAATTTACACTTATACAGATTGTCGTAGTATTTTTCACCTTGAGCTTCTTAAAACAGCAGGCAATCGGAGTGAGGGGCTAAAATGCAATTTTACAGGATTTAGAGGATAATTGGTCATCATCAACTTACAGGTATTTCCATGACTGGAAAACTAGTCTCTAAATATCCAGGTCTTCCAAGTTTTCCAGGATGCGTTGGAACCTTGAGCTACTTCAAGCTAGCTAGTTTAACTCCCCCTAACACCAGAAATGGTCATTTTTACATTTCTGTTTGTGATTAAAGACAACCTGTTAATCAGCAAACTTTGGACAGAGCTAGCGGGTTAGCTGTTTCCCCCTGTTTCCAGTCTTAATGCTAAGCTAGGCTAACCCACATCCGGACTCCAGCTCTGTATTTAACACACAGGCATGAGACTGATACCTATATTCTCATTTCACTCTGAAAGACACATGATATTTTCCAAAATCTGTGGTAGACAACTGCACTGAAGGTGGCAATTTTCATCATTTAGTACAAGCTTTTTTTCTCTATACCATTTTGTACCTGTCACTCATACTGTACCTCTGTGACTTGAGCGATTCGGTCAATCTCTGTATCAGACATCTCAGACAGACATTTGGCGATTCCCACGTACAAATCTACTTCATTATCCTAAACAAAAGAATTTATCATCAGCAGCACCTTTACTGGAAACAGGTGGACATTCTCAGGTGAATGGTCTGGTGAAATTACTGTTACATTTAAAGCAACTCATGTTAATATGCCATTACACGTTGTAACTGTTCGCAGGAGTTGCAGTTTATTTTAAGCACTGTAAACTGCAGTCAGTGTCTGTTTGCCAAAAGCCAAAAGTAGTTGAAATTTCTGTTGACAGAAGTCAACAGTAAGTGTCTGAACAGGTGAAGAGTAAAAATGAATAAGTTGGAGGTAAAGAGTACTTCCTGAAACCCTCATTTCCTTCCAGCGTTTGTACCTGGATTTGGTTGGGCAGCAGAGTGAAGATCTTCTCAGTGGTGGAGCGGAGGATGGTCCAGCAGTTGTTGGGGGGGTTTGGGAGGGCCATGGCCTGAGCAAGGCCCTGCAGCAGGGAGTGGCACATGGACAGACGCTGCGGTCGAAGGTCGTCCTGGAACTGCTGCAGGCCCAGGCTCTCCACGTGGACCTGGAGCTTGTCCTCAGCGACGTGTTTCATCCATAAGCCCAAGTTCTCGTACAGGTGAGCCCGAGTCAGGTACTGGAGCAGAAACACAGGCTCTCCACTGACACTTTATCACAATCAATGCTGATATTTGGCTCAGTACTTAGGGAACTTACACTGAGACTGTGCACAAGGGGCGGTGACAGCCAGGAGCCCAGAAAGAGAGAGGCACTCTGTGAAGACTGAGCTTGACACACTGCCAGCGCCACACACTGATGCTGAACATCCTCTCCTGACAGAGGGAGAAAATAATCATGCAGAGCTTGGTGCTTCGGCTCTGCTGGCCAAAGAGACAAATGTGTGAGAACTCTTACCGAAGCTGAGCCTCATCAGAGGGGACAGGACAGCACTCCAGTTGATAGGCGGGTACTGAAAACTGGCTCCAACTGATGCCAGCGGGGTCAGAGCGGTCTTAGCCAGAGCTGGATGGGCAAACTCTGGACCTGGGTCCAAAGGAGGAGAGGATGTTACCAAAAGTATTTTATATTCAAATTTGTGGTATAATGTTGAAAATAAAGTTATAAGTGGTGCTTCTCCTGAGAAGGCTAAATTTGGGATAGAGATGAAACTGATGTAGAGACAGTTCATTTAAAAACAAGTCAACTCACCTTTTTTTCCAGCCTCTGTGAGGAAGTCAATGATAGACCTGATGACACTTTTCTCTGAGAGGTAACTGAAATCCTGAGGAACTGAGAAGATGAAACACATATCACACTGCTACTTATTTTGTTTGCCAGTCTACTGGTAACATGGAGGTTCACACTGGGACCTACCCTACCTGCTGTGTGACTGTGGCTGGTGGACATATGGGCCAAATGCAAATGACCCACCAAACAAGCACTGTTGGACTGCAAACCCAGGGCTCCTGAGAATGTGATGATCTGCAAAAGAGAGCCAAAACACAATGAACATAAAGGGCAGAACATTTGGTATAAGATTCCAATCTGAGCATTAACCATCTTGTACCAAAATGTTGTCCTGAGGGTGGCAGTAGAGGACAGCTTGTGGATTCTCTACAACATCCTCCACACAATCAGCCTATCCCTGAATTGGAAATGGGATCCATATTCAGGGAAATATGTGCCATTCCATTTCCATTTCCCACCTCCAGGCCCAGTACCATTTCAGGGAAAATGCCTGTAAAGCTGTGACAAACTTGCAGGGGCAAGCACATAGACACAGGGTCAGGTCCATCAGCCAACGGCTCGGCTTTTGCGTATTTGAATCTGTGACTTGTTTACAGTTGCCTTCCTTGCCAATGCTTTCGTGGGTGACTTAAGTTTGCAACATGGCTCAATTTTTCATGTTTGGAACTTGTTCAATATTAAATACAGGACAAAAACAAAGCTCTGCAAAACATGTATCATTCATATTCTTATGTTTAATATTGCTATTATTATCATTGTTGATGTTTTTACTGTTTCTATTATTAGTGTTATTATTAATAATATTATAAATCAAAAATACATTAATTATCATTATCCCAAACAAACAATACCAAACTAATGTGTCATAATAGATCCCTCCTGAAACCCCCATTTAAACTGCATTAACTGCATTATTATTATTATTATTACATTTATTATGACTGTCCTGTTTTCATATATCTACCAGGCCAAGTTCTGCACATCATCTTTTGTATTGTTTGTTTGTTTTCTTCTCTTTGTGCATTGTATTCTTCTTTTTCTGTTGAGTGTCATGGTGGTGGGCATCCATAAGTGCATTAACGGCCTCTGCTGGACTGTCTCTTGCCCCATCTATTCCAGCATTACCATGGCATGTGTAAAAAGCTGCACGACTGAAATGTTCCTGAATAAAGCTGCATGTGTGAACAGTGAAAATCACTAGCAGTTCCTGAAATTTCCCAGTGTATAACTATGATAATAGTGTGTAAAAAAGGCTTTAGAAAGAGAAAGTTATTCCTCTGGGGAGCAGGAATATATACTTAAAGATTATATTTAAACACTGGTACAGTGATGATGTATCACTGTAGTGGACATTACATGAGACATCTTAGTAATAATAATAATACAGAAAGGAGGTCACATTTTCACAAATGAAAAAACTTTACTAAGACTAAAATGTGTCTACATACCTGAGAGATGGCTCGTATAACCTCATTCAGCCTGCTCTGCTGCTGGGAGGAAAGCTCCGACTCACTGGTTAGCTGTAACACAGGACAACTTCTTGTTATGAGTAGAACAGTGACCGCTCATCTCACTATGCATGAAGAACTCTTGCAGCACAGTTCAGGTCTCTGTAATCCACTCATAACTTTAGGCTCAAACACATGATATTTTAGAATAAAAAATAAATCAATAAATAACGACGTCACACATTTTTTTGGATTATTTTTGGTGTGACATATTCAAGTGGGTCTCTGACATGTAGGAGATTGAGATGAGATGTGGGTTGTCTCTATGAGATACTGAGATACTCGTTCAATACCTGGTTAACAGAGCTCACTGGTACATAACATACAGTATGGATAAAGTTTGATATTGCGTAATGGACATGGGTCTTAATAGATTTTCTGATATGTGGCAGCCATTTCTGCATCACCTTGCGCAAAGTGCAGCAACAAAATCCATAGTGGGCTGTCCACCTCTCTCATTGTGTGCTAAGGTGTGTTGTGCTAGTGATGCAGCAGCCATTGAGTAAACAAATTATTTTCTTTACATATGTCATTTTCAGTTTTGTCCTTTGTTTCTACTTTGTTTGTCTTTGTTTTCTCATATGTATCTCTGACTTCTGCACCAATAAAAATATAATAATATCTCTCCCCATGATTCCTGGCTATCTCTACACACAGTGATGAAACTGATCCCAGCAGAGGAGCGGATTTCTCACCTGAATCAGGTAACTCTCAGATCCGACTAAAGCCACCAGGCCGTTGACGGCAGCCAGTCGCTGCATGGTGGGACAACCCTGAAACACAAAGACAACTCCTTTACTGAACACACATCCCAGTTACAGTTGCTTGGTGCCATAAAAGTTAAGGCTTGTACATATTTAAATACATTTCAAATGAGTAAGAGTTGAATGTGTCTGTCTTCCTACAATTCTGTCCTAATGTATGCTGGGTTAGAATCAATAATGTCAATAATGGACCAAAAGTGGTTGAACTTGCTCATCTGAACCAACAATGAACCTAACAGAGGTTATAACACAAAAGGCTTCCATTTATTTTATATATATTTTAACCAGTTTAAGTCTGGTTTGTCTTAAAGGGATACGAGAGAAAACAGGTTTTGTTTTGTGTGTGTAGTCTACCTGTGTCTGGGCAGAACGCTCAGACTGACAAGTCAGGCAGATGTGACATAAATACAATGTCTAACACAGCTGTAAGTAGGAGAGAAGAGGTAGATGTGGTACCTCAGCCAGTAAGATCTTGATCCAAGCAGCCAGCAGACGAGGATGGATGTCCTCTGCTTTGCCGTGGCCGGACATTGACAGGCCGTGGACTACCAACCCGAGAGCCAGGGAGAAGCCTGGAGTCTGAACATAAACAATACAAAAGCATGGAAAACTGGGGTTAGACTGTAGAGAATGCCAGTACAGTACTGAAGTAAATTTACACACAAAATAACTTTTCTGTAGTGACATGAAAACCACGGTTTGTAAATTGACTTCAAAGTTTCTTGGTCTAGAAGCGGTAAGAAGGTAAGGTAAAAATTGCCTTTATTAAATTAAAATTTTAATCAGTATGGCTAAACGAGGTCTTATTCTTTTTATGTTCTGAGAGGTTAATGTGGTAACATCAGGATGCATGAAGCAGCTGCTGACTTCTCCTGAAACAATTTCACTGACTAGAAACTCTCTCCTGCTGACCTGCTGGCTCTCCTCGGTCAGGGTGCGCAGAGTGTTCATGACCTCCTCTGCCTTGGCAGCATCAATAAGGCCTCCGCTGAAGGCCGAGACACCCACACACGCCACAGAGTACGCCATGACCTGTACAAAAAAAAAACCCTCCTTTAAATACTATTCCAGTATTACAAAACATTTTCTACCAACAGTTACTTTTTGGGTTAGGGTTAGCGTGACAGGGCAAATGTCTCAAAAGAATCAAATATTTTGGAGACCTCTAAAACTGTACAGAATTAAAACTAGTGTTGTGTAGGGTGGTTCGTACCTCCTGTAGCATGCGTCCCTGCCCACTACTGTCCTGCAGGTTAGACAGTAGTTTGTCCAGTGTTTGGGTGACACGGACATGTTGGTCTGTCTGTCCACTACTGCAGAGAGCTGCAAGCACCAGAGCCAGACCCAACATACAGCCCGTTCTGAGGGAGAGGACAGAGGAGGAAGAGGCCAGGAAGAAGAAAACTAAGTACCAATGCGCAGGGCGGTGGTCACATGACCAACAGAGCTGGAATTGCAAGGCAAACTGACCCAGCCTTCCTATGCCCCGCCCCTTTTTGTTCTGTGCTCCAATAACAGTTGAGCAACCTCGTTCAACTTTTTTTCTTTCCTGTACTTAGATATGCTATGTGCTAATAGGCTAATCAATGTTGACATTTTGAAGATGGTTAAAAATTAAAAGCGACATATATGTAGTCACATCTTAAGTTAGCTAATGTTAGCAAACTGCTAGCTAACTGGTACACTGACAACATAAATATAATCATATACTTATATATATATATATATATATACAACATTATACTATATATATATATATATAATTATATAATCATATATATACACACACATAATACTATATCATATATATATATATATATTATATATATACACACATATATATATATAACATACTATACTAATACTATATAGTATATATTACACACATCACATAGTATATATATATATATTAGTATATATATTAATATATATATATATTATATATATATATATATATATATATTATTATAGTTTACAGCAGATAATATAGTATATTATTACACACAGTATATATATACACATATCTATATATATATTAGCCTATATTAGATCAATACAAGCAGGCATGATATTATTAAACATGATAGTTATGTACACAGCAGTTTGGTATGAGTGATGATCACCAGTAGAATTGTCCGTTATATAATATTATATGTTACTTTGTATGTATGATATGTTAGTGGTAGTGTATAGCGTGTGTGTAATGAGTTATACTGAGTATATGATGATATTATATATATAATATATATATAGTAGATATATATACTCAGTTATATATATCATATATATAGTATATTACACATATATTATATATACTATATATATTATATATATATACAATATAATATATATACACATATATAGACTATATATTATATATATATGAACTTTTAATATATAACATATATACTATATATACACATATATATGATATACAACATATATAATTTTTTTTTACCACATATATATTATATATACGTATAGTATATATATATATTATTATGTATATTATAGGTATATGAACATAGGGCAATTATATAATATATATATATATATAGTAGCGGTATATTATAATTTGCCCATTCTTGAGGACTAGCCTGACAGCTTTATACATGGGGCTTTACAGTAATGTCCTTAATAAAATGGCTACTTTG